GTCTTGTCTTTTTAATCCAGCCTTAGTCTTGCATTTCTTTTGGCACAACTCGCAAACAATTCCCTCTTCATATTGAACCTAAAAATCGAAAGACTTTCAGTAAAAAAAATATGTTGTTGTACTACGACCGATGCCATTGCTAAGGGCATCAATAACTACAAAGTTTTTGGGCGAAAATAACGTTTTAAAGGCTTCTGAAAGACGTACAGAGTCAGCTGCTTCGACAAAGTGCTCTTGTAATTCTTCCTCGTTTTCCAAAGTTTCCAATATGGCATCAAAATCGTCGCCGAAGAAAAATAAGTCGTTCATGTCCTCCATGTTGTTTTGGTTCTGTGCAGGGTCATTGGTCACGTGACGTTCAAGCGAAGCTCAGAGAACAGACAATAGGCCGTCCCTTTGAAGTTTGCCGCGTTTCCTAACCAGTCCCCTCTACGAACTATGGAATAAGTAAGGGCTATTACAAGGATTTAAATGATGTGAGCACTGCTGTTGAAAATAAAGTGAATAAAAAAACCTCCTCGGGTAAGTTGGAATACCGAAAGAAAATATCTCACCTTCACTGTGATCAACCTCTTGAACCTTTTCTTGGCCTCTGACAAGATAGTACCATTCTTTAAAGATGCTATAGGCCAAGGCAATTGTCAAAGCTTTTTTTTGTTTGTTTGTTTCTCTGTCTCTTGCATATTGCAGTGAGATATACACAACGTTGATTTTCCAAGGTTCAAATTATTTAACTGGCGGTATATCAGACATGGCACATATGAATATAATTATTTTAGAAAAAAATCCCTGCGTTCCCGCTTTTTTTCGAAATTTATATTCAGCGGCTTCTCTATTTTAATGTAAATACCTCGTGTGTGGGGAATTACGAAGAATAACAAAGATGGCTACCAAATACCTGCTGAGAATAGGGAAAACAAACCGTCTACGGAGCGTTTTCCCTTCAATGATGGCGCCGATTCCACATTGGTCTCACTTTCAAAGAAGCCTGCTTTTTGTCTTGAAAATGCAGTGCCCTAGAGTGTGTTTTTTCGAGAGAAAAACGTTTGGTTTGCAAGGGTTACATCTCATCTCTTGAATGGGAAGCTGGGAAAACTTGTCGGGACAAGAACGTTTTCTCCTCACGCTCAGAAAGGCATGAAGTTAAGTGCTGTTTGAAGAGGTTAGTAAGGGCTTCATTTTGTTTGTCTGGAGTTCTTTTGATAGCAAAAGGCAGTGGCTTGACTGAAATTATTTTCATTTCTTGTGCGATAAAAATGTAGTTCGATTATTGCTTTATTCATTTTTAACCTGGGGAAAGTACCCATTTGAGTGGAAATTACAAAACGTAAAAACGTAACGTAAAACGTAAAAACGTAAAAAATCTCCCCCATATTTCCTTTATGTTCTGCCGTCATATTCAATCTCTTTTCGTGTTATATGCGCATGCTTACGGCCAAGTTGGCAACCATGTTGTCCGAAATTTCTGGCTATGGTATAACACCGGCATCTGGGATGGTTTTCCGTCCGTCTGTCTGTCCTTCTGTCTCTATCTGGCTGGCTTTCTGTCTATCCGGATTCGACAACCTGTTCATAGTATCCAATGTCTTCTCATCGCTAGCTTGTAATAAGGTTTTACGATTTAGAAATTCTTAGTGGTCCCTCCCAGAATGTCTGATGAGAAGAAGCACCCCTCGTTAGTGCTGGTTTAGCTTCGCTCTACGACAGATGCAAGAAGTTATGTATGTCGCGCTTCCGCACTGATCGTTTCAAATCTTCATTCATTTCGGCTATGTGCGCGAGGGCTAATCTAGGGTCTTAGCATCGACTGCATGTTTCTTCCATTGCTGTATAATTGTAATTATTTTAGGTCTTAAAATTTTTTTGTAAATTTTGTAGTTTTATATAGTCTCATAAATATATTCATAAATAATTGTGAAAAGTACGCAATTCGGCCTATGGCTGCAAAGTATTTCTATTTTTTTGGTAATTAACTATCTATCTATCTCTATCTATGCTGATATCTTCGTGAGTCAGTCGGGATAAGTACTTCAACAACTAGAGTCTTCGAACGTAAATATTTATCACCAAATTCAGGATGCAATCTTTCCAGGAATTCCGAAAATGGTCATTAGACCCCTACAACAAGTTCTAGTCCATGCTGTCATGCCTTTTCGTCATATGAAGATCATTATTCCTGTAACTTCTCCAAAAATAACTATTCGGTGATTACTTGTTCAGACGATAAAACATGAAACGTGCCTGACTCAGTTTCCTATTCCTTCCTTTCTGACGTTCAGGCATTGTATCTGGAAATAAGACGATTTCGTAGAGGAAGGTTACTTCGAAAACTTTGACCCGTCTGGTTCTATACTCTGGAGTATGTCTCATCGTTTCTTTCAATATGGTTCGAGATAGGAACAGGGAACTAAGGATAAGAGCCTTAGCGATAATAAGAGGGTGCATGCACGCGAGTACAGGTACAAATGATAACCTTAACTCAATAGAAGGTGAAGCAGAAGTCCTACAGGAGCAAGCACCGCTTGCGAGAGGGAGAGAGTTGTTGGCGAGAAGTTTCTTTTCTACGCTTTTGAGGTAGAAGCAAACTAACCAGTTTCTTTTCATTATTTGTCATTCATTGTCTTTCAGATGTTAAAGTGTCTTCCCTGGAAAAAAATGCAATAAGGAAGAGAGGAAGCTCAAGCGTCATGTTGATGAAATGATACACATTTAAAAAGTCTGTTAAGTCTAGCTACAACATTACTAATAGCTAAAAAAAACGGCTTGAATATAAGCAAACTTAAATTTGATATGTTTTGACTCAATGTTTAGAGAGATGGCTTTTCTCGGTAAAGTTTGGCCAAAGTTTCTTTTAGAATAAATTTTTTTGTGCTATTTTCCTTTACTTAACAGATCAAGGGGACCAGTTACATTACATATAGCATCACTTCATCTCCATTGTAGCCTTAAAGCAGCCTATTTCCGAGTTCGCGCATGTGTCAGATACTTGGTGTCGAAAGGTGCTAGAATGAAAAGTGAAAAGTCGCTCCCCGAGATGTTTCTGGTAATCGTATCAAATCTTTCGTGTTGTTTACAGAATGGTTCATTGTTCAGTTGCTTGCAAGCAATAATAATCACAATAGATCTGCTTTGTCGTACTTCACTTTCCCTTTGACAAGGGACTTAAAATATTGTTTAAATTCTTCCCTTGAGCAGACCAAAAGGTAGGCTCTCGAAGCTAAGAAAGCGAGAAGCGGAAAGTCTAGCAACTTGAGTATATTTAGCACAAATTTCATAGTTCTGAAATCGTGTACTAAAAAAGAACTTGGAATGTCAGAAGCAAAATTCTCGGGACAGCTATGCCAACAATTTTCAGACCGTAAGAATAAAACACAACAAAGTGTGCTCGCTATCAATCAGCAAGGAAAAAACCACGGATGATGACGTCGAGAGCGACCTCGCACTCAGTCTCGTTTCGTGTCTCAATTTTGGCACCAGATCTCTGGTTCGTGAGAGCTCAGAAATGGGCCACTTATTCCTTTAGTATTGCATTTTGAGGTGGACTTTTACTTAGTTTTTGACTAATGATATTTATGCGCTCGGGGCAGATACTTATTTAAAAATGTTTCAAAGTTTGCTTGGATTCCTTTTTAAGTTACCTTTATCAGTACGTAAATAAAAATATTCCAGTGAAGCCTTTCTCTCTGATTTGTATAAATAACCTTTTTTCCTTTACCATTTACTCGTTAAAAAAATTGTTCTGTTTATGGAGGATCTTCCCGTAATTAAACTCGTAATTGTAACCCTAAATCATTTGGGTTTTTTTGGCAGGCATTTCGTTAAGTTTTGGAAAAAATAAAAATGTTATTCACCAGCCTTGGTCTGTAGGTCGCGGGTTCGTATTGGGAAAAACTGTGCCCTCTGTCTTGAGTACCAAGACCTCGAGCACAGTTTTTCCCAACACGGAGTTTGGGAAAAAATTAAAATGCAGTCTTAATACTACTGTTCATAACACTCGTTACAGTATTTTACTTAACTAGGTCAAACTTCACAGGTTAGAAAACTTTAATTAAATTTTGAACCAATGGATAGAATCGATGATGCAATCTTAAAGGTCGGCACACACGAGGGGACTAGTCCCTGCGACTAGTCCCGGCAACAAATCTTTGAAGGGTTTACACGAGGGGACCGGTAGCAGGGACTAGTCCCTTAAGGTGTTCACACGAGGGCACTCAATTGCACAAGAACATAGGAAAATTAAGAGGCAAAAGATGTTTCTTAGTCTGGGGCGTTACACGAAAACAATGAAAATTTGGCAACTTTTCATTGTAGCACTATTAAACATCAACGCAAATGAACTACACTTATTCAGTCGAATTATTCAT